CCATTTCAACTCCGAAAAAGTGGTCACAATTTTCAAGGTATGTGTGCGATCAATATTAAACTTCTGTCCGGAATACTATTCCCTCTATACCAACAATATTGAAGTAGAAATTGAGGCGTCCAACGCTCTTTCGCGGACTGGTTGCTCCCACACCCCAACTTTCCCTCCTACTTCTTCTTCTACCAAATTTTGGGTTTTGAACCACTATGGCTCAGACGGTTTTTGCTTAATCAAGCTCTATTCCACCGTCTGTTGCACAGGGAAACTATTGTAGGAGAGGCTGGGCCAAACGATAACCTATCTTCTCGCCATAGATTCCATAACTCAAGCGACCTTTCAATGTGCCCTCAGGCACTTACTAGAGTAATCCACATCTTTAATCTAGTCTACTGCGCTTGCACCTTGATAACACTTTTTGGGTAGCTGTGACGTAACACGCACTGTCACGCTTTTCCGCAATCATTAGATATATTCCACACTTATGGAGTCACCGCCGCCTTACATAATACTCAACTAGCCTTTGAACTCCTCCATTAATTAGGTCCAATGCACATTTGAGTTCACCAACGGTACAGTCAGTGGGCAAGTAAGAGATCCCGCTATCATGTCCTGTTGTCCCTTTGACTCGCTTCAGTCCACCGCGTTCTTCCAATCTACGGGCTTGATCTGAGTGTTATGTTACTGGCCTGAATGTTCATTCCTCAGGCAGCTTGCACTTTGTTTCAGCTAAGCCTTTACCCCGGATCACCCCTTCAGCTCTCTCGTATGACTGGTCCTCTGTTTGGCTTAGTTCTAACTCGCACAAATATACCAAGGCCAGCATTTTCAATACTGAATTGCCTTAAATGTATACAGTATGTATACAGTACGTCTGATGATGTGCTCTACAGCGCACCAAACGCTCACGTACAATATCGCGGTACTCCTCTGCTTGACATGGTAGCACACAACAACACTCAGTTGCCGATTAGCGATAGTACCCGCTCTGAGTTTCACCATTTCATTCCTCTTGTTCCATTGGTGGATGACATTTTTACTTGCTTCCTCCGCAGCCTGCCTTTACCAGCGTCTGCTGGCTGTTCGCTTGTCCGAATCGACTGAGCTGTCTTACTGGCCCGGCTGTCCCCCCGACCAGAAAAAATTTCTAGTAGCCAGAGTACCCTAATAATGCACTAGCCGCTTTTAGGACTGCCTGGTGGGTTTCCTCCCTGCAGATTTCGTAGAATACACGAGGACTGAAAACCTCGTGTGGCGGTCGGACACGCCCTGCATACAGGATTGGACCATGTTGCGTTCGTTTTCCAGACAACCATTCGGTATCATGGGCGTGTCTCCTATTGCCGGTGGTTCGCTTGTCGAATCGACTGAGCTGTCTTACTGGCCCGGCTGTCCCCCCGACCAGAAAAAATTTCTAGTAGCCAGAGTACCCTAATAATGCACTAGCCGCTTTTAGGACTGCCTGGTGGGTTTCCTCCCTGCAGATTTCGTAGAATACACGAGGACTGAAAACCTCGTGTGGCGGTCGGACACGCCCTGCATACAGGATTGGACCATGTTGCGTTCGTTTTCCAGACAACCATTCGGTATCATGGGCGTGTCTCCTATTGCCGGTGGTTCATGGTATGGCCTTTAATTCAGAAAATCCGTAAAAACGTTATATAGTTTTCCACTTGCTGCTGCTGGTGGCGGACTAATTTTGGAGGTTCTGTTTATCTGGCAACGCCATAAACTACGGTTGGTTATAAAATCAAACTTTCGCCCATACAAAGGCTCCCAAAAACATGCAGGGGACAGCTTAAAGATGCGGAGCCCCCGGTTTACATCGACACGCAAAGTTGTACCTGCCTTCGTCATACCTGCTGGTGCACCGTCTCAAAATACCCTGGTCCACAGACCAAAAAAACACTACCTCCTTCTCCCAGCAGTGAACGTTGAGACAATAGATAAATATATATATTGCGACTTCTAACCATCCACTACCAGCATATGAGGCCAGCGCCTGAATCATTTTTGCCAAACACCCGTTGTTGATTGAAGCTGATAAAATTACTTTGACGATTGGTGAATATTTTCCTCAAAGTCGATTTAATTCATAGATGAGGGTATCGCCAAACATACCCGACAACCTCCATAAAATATTCTCCTGGATCCCACGAATTCTACCACCGTCAGTCTCTGTGTTTGATCCCACCCATCAAACCAAAACTCGATGCAACTATATCACGCTATATACTGTCTAGTACCGTCTGTGATGGTAGGCCTAATAAGTAAAAAACGGCCCTAATCCGGCCTTATTGACACACCTGTTTTCACTACCTTAATTGTAGCAGGCGCTCGTTTTTCTCCGTTTATGGTATTCATCCTATCTGACGCCCCCAAGACTCACTGAGGCTTACTGATCTCATCCCGTTCCCTCCTTCCTCCAAGTTTCGACCTTCGGCAATACCGGGTTCGGACACTCTGTTTAGCCCCTATCCACTTCACCTGATCTGTGCTTTACACCCGAACGGGTCCCCATCCGAACTTTGAAGTACCTGCGATCTTACATTGGCTTTCTTCTATATCTGCGCATTCCCTGAGCTAACCGAAAAGATTCCGCTGCCCACAGAATTGCTCATCCCAGCCCAGGCACCTCAAACATGAGGTCTCTCACGAAGACGTCCAGAAGGCGAAGTATGTCAGTACAAAAACGGCACGGCACTACCATACCCAGTTTGATAGCATCCCCGCAATCATGCACTTCCTACGTTCTCGCTCACTCATTCCCTTAGCTGCAACTGCGGACAAACTCTTCCCCTAGCACCAGCTCTCTCCGCGTTCATTCTAATCTGCTAGACCTGCCGTTCGAATGTGAACATTTCGTTGACTTCCATTTAATGTCGCTCGCAAAGCCATTAATTTTCCCTTCGGTTAGGTTTCCGTCTTGTGCGTTCTAACCAACTCCCTTTCCTAAGGACTTTTTTACCCGGCTTCGCTTCAACGTCAATACTGGTTTCCACAGTTTCAGTGTACACTGTGACCCTGAGTTTTCTGCTACCATTTATCCGCATTGCTGATTCCCCCCCTTCATCATCCCCACTGACGCCTTTCGAGGTCGTTTTCGGCCGTTTCAGACTTTGGTTCAAATTGATCGGTCAGATCGTGGCAACCCGATTCATTGCTCTTTATTCCCCATATGTTGCAATTTGAAGTTTTTTATCACGTGCCAGGCAGGAATCCTATTTTTGGCATCCCTTGTCCAGCTATTGCCAGCCAACTTTAAATCTTCGCGATATAATCTCGTCTTAGCTTGTTATTTTTCCCAAGAAGTAAGATAAACTCCTGATGTTTGTGTTTCCCTGCTTATTATGGTTTAACCAGTGAAGGGCCTAGCGTTGCAGGCCGCTGTGGTGGTTTCAAGGAAGTGAAGCTGGCAGCGACTAATGGGTCTCTGGGACAGGACTCCACATTGCTGGTCATCTACTGCACTTGTAACCAGGAGAAACCTGATTAGTGTTCCCACAACCAGACGTTTAGAGGCTCTTAATAAAATGAAGGTATGGTGTATCTCATGAAGTTGGAATTAGTTTGCGTACGCTCGGACTTGAAATGCACACTCACTATCGATTGCTTCCACTGGGAGGGACAAATCCACAGTTTAACGAGTGTGTAAGATGATGTTGAAAATTATTCTGATAGTTTTACCACCTCGTCTCAGGACCTGACGTGAAAGGCAGTGCATCGGCCCATGGCGCAACAGAGTCTTCAAATTTGAGAAGAGGGAACGAGTGGGCGAGAACGTAGGAAGTGCATGATTGCGGGGATGCTATCAAACTGGGTATGGTAGTGCCGTGCCGTTTTTGTACTGACATACTTCGCCTTCTGGACGTCTTCGTGAGAGACCTCATGTTTGAGGTGCCTGGGCTGGGATGAGCAATTCTGTGGGCAGCGGAATCTTTTCGGTTAGCTCAGGGAATGCGCAGATATAGAAGAAAGCCAATGTAAGATCGCAGGTACTTCAAAGTTCGGATGGGGACCCGTTCGGGTGTAAAGCACAGATCAGGTGAAGTGGATAGGGGCTAAACAGAGTGTCCGAACCCGGTATTGCCGAAGGTCGAAACTTGGAGGAAGGAGGGAACGGGATGAGATCAGTAAGCCTCAGTGAGTCTTGGGGGCGTCAGATAGGATGAATACCATAAACGGAGAAAAACGAGCGCCTGCTACAATTAAGGTAGTGAAAACAGGTGTGTCAATAAGGCCAGATTATGGTTGTTTCATACTAATAGCCCAGTAATCAAAGACAGTCTAAGCTTGCCAATATGCGCTGTTATATTACCAGATAAGATAATTATAATACGTGCTCAGAGACGATGTGTGTGAAGGCGAATTCCAACATAGTCACTTTCGGGTGCAGAACATTACATGACCATTCATGGGATGAGACGACGTCGTTGTACAGGTCGTCTGTTGTTCGTTACGTTGGCACAGGTGGTCTTTCTGGATGTGAGAGAAAGTAAACATCAAATGATTTACAAGAACACTTGTTGTACACAGACTTTCTACACAAAGAATTGGCAACCCTGTGAATGTCGCAGCTTTCGAGAATTCACTTCTATTGTGCGAATGCTGAGCGGCATCATCTGACGTTGTTCTCTGCAACCTTTTTTACTGACGCCCGAATAGTAATTCGTTACTAAGATTCAGATCAGCGAGTTTCATCGTTTTGAAAGATTGTTCACTTAGAACTATGTAAATGACATAAAATTCAGAGACGAATTGAGACTAAAATGATCCCCCACCACAAATTCCACACAGTTTTGGCAAACGTAACTTTAGTTTTACCCATAGGTCGGTGATTTGACAGTCGATCGCCATGATGTATGTCGATGACACGAGAGATAAGTTGGAGGCAGAGAAAGCGCGGTTTTACCAAACAACGACCGTTCACATTTGGAGCAGTTCGTGAGTGGAATAAGCTTCCTCCTACTGTCTTGTATGGTACACCTAAGACAGCTCAAATAATGTTTGAAAGCCTTACGGATATTTCTCTCTCCCAAGCTGGTGATCTGGCTGAAGTTGGGACTCAAAACTACAGTGCCATAAAATTTCCTGTCGTGTTGCTTCAGCGCAACAAAACTGACATGTGGAGCTCGCGCAAACGCAATAAGGATTTGCGGTCGGGTGCACAAAAAGATTCAAACAATTGAACGTGTATTCTATGGTATGTTCAATAGACGTGTACGTGGATAGGGAGCCCGAAAATTTTTGGCTCAAGTCGGACACCTTTCAAAATTCCGGGGTAAGCGGCTGCAACTGGAGTAAGCAGCACTTCCTGGTCACTGGTGGTAACGAACACAACGATATCAGTAGTATTTGATAATTGGAAATTTAACAAAATTACACTCCAAAGTACCAAGCAGGAAAAATCTGCGTGAACCGCGGTGGACATTAAGAATCTAATGTACTGTGAGCCAAAATCCAATGAAGCTTAATTGTTGGGTGGCTGTCAAGTGTACAGTTTTGTTGGCAAGAGAAAAGGAACGTCCACAATCTCTAGTGAAACAGAAGGGAATGAACATTGGAAGCCGGAGGGCGCTGCAGCAAAATTGAGCCGGTAAACACCCGAAATATAGTGTTTCTGATGAACAGAACCCCAGTAAACTGTAGCGGGCGCTAACTGGTGCACACTGGATACGAGTGTAGTTGACAGCAAATTAATTAAATGCCAAATTAACACACACACGTACATACACATATACATACATACACACAGTAACGGCCTAGTAAAATGTTACGGAAACGCAAGGGCGTTCCGACGTCATCGATAAATGGAGGTGGATAAAAAATGAGAAGCCAGTTGGAAGGGCAAACTTCATTTGAGGTGGCTGTAGGTCACCAATGGAAGACAGCTGATTGGTCGAATATTATTAAGGCTCTACTGATATGGTGGGCACTGTGTGCAGGCGTTCGATTTTATCTCCTACTGGGCCATAAATCCGGAACCTCAAACTTTAATTCTAAACTTCTGCTGTTTAGACTTCCTAGAAATGCGTAGTTTCCTTGATCGGTTTAAACTGGAACCAGCTTCAGTGGAAAAGCCTACAGGACCATTGTCCGAAAAATTCGCTAGACTGACGCAGTCCTGGTCCCAGAAAAAGCACGCAATCGAATGAACCAAAGGCTAACTTAAAAGGATTCGGCGTCCTCGTGAAATATATGTCCCGAGTACTTTTTAAAACGATAATTACATGTGACACAAAAGATGGGATAACGTTTCGTAAAATGCGGTGCCGCTGTAAATCAGAATTTCACCAATGTGATATAAAAATTAGGCCAGGATGTTTGACCATGCCCTAAAAACAGGTGCCGTTCAAGCACATGAGACACCATCAAAGGAATAAACCAAACGCCTTCCCGTTGGGGAACAGAAACGTAGAAATCACGAGTGGCTAGGTAGTGGGTGTTGAAATCTCAAGGGAACCCTATTCAGGAATACATTCCTCCCAAGCGCCTTTGTTAGATCCAGTCTGGTCGAGGCGCAACTGTGAAGAGCCCCTAACCGACTTCGTCCTTACGGAGGAGGACATCTGTCAACCCTCGAACAAGACAGACCTCTTCAGCGCATTGGGGGCAGACGAGGTCTATCCAAGGATACTATTGGAAACGTCGGTCACACTGGCAAGACATTTTTACTTTGCGTCTCGTCGTTCTGTCGCTCGGCAAAGGCCAACTTCTTTCTGCTTGAAAGGGATCGGTTGTCATGCCAATCTACAAAACTGGTGATCGCCAATCGCCCAGAAGCTACAGGCCTATTAGACCCACCAACGTATCACGCAAGGCGAAGAAGCGCATTTTGGGGTGAACCATCTTGAAGCACCTCACTACCAAAAACCTGATTTTCCTAGTTTAGCACGGATCCCTCCGAAACCAAGGGCGCTGCAAAGCGACAGTTGTTGAACTGGCACCTTTCCCTGAATGACGAAAAATGAATCCGAGTGTCATTCGGAGGAGACCTAGCAAACGTCTTTGTCGTATAAGTTGAGAATGGACCAGGAGGTATTACGAAGATGAAGAGCAAGGAGGCTCTAGGCATAAGGCTATCCTCAAAAAGGTCCTTCCGACTGTATAATGAAAATCAGCTCAAAAAGCTTCTTACTTTCTGTCGAGGATTTGGCGAACCTTCCACCGTATTGCTCGGATGAACTTCCAGTTAATTTTTGGGGCTTACGTGAGACCGCTTTTTAAATATGCCTTCTAAGTAACCTACTAAAGACGTAAGAATGACGCCGTCCTCATTGAGCTTGTCCAGCGAGCTGCTATGAGAATAGTTGCTGACCTCAAATCCGCCCCCCACCGTGCTTGACCAGTTTCTCCTGGAGGATCCTCGCATCCGAGGAGACCAAAAACTTACTTATGCCCTGTGCGAACAAGGTTTCGCCAACAGGTTTCGTCAACAGGACAAGGTAAGAAGGTAAGGTTTCACACTATTATTAGGCAATAATTTTTTCTCTTTTCCGCTTGTCTTGCGTGGAATGTCCTTCCTCCGACGGTTGTCCATTACGTATGTGGTACCCAACTCAAAGAAAATTTGGACGCTTTCTTAGTTAAATCCTGCCCCGCATTGAGAACTTAAAGAGCGGTGCTACGCCTTTTTATCTGGTGTTTTTCAGATGACCGGATGTTTTGGAGCGACAAGAGCAAACCCGAAGCGGGGAAGTTGTGGTGAAGGTTCCAGTCCTCTGTATCAATTTATGAATCCGTGAATTGCATGAGTCCCAGAAGAACAACCAACGATTACAGCTGATAAATTTGTAGCAGCAAATTATGGCAAAGGTATGTTCCTGCATCACACGCGGACTAACTGAACGTGCAGGGGTCTGGCTATCCAACAAGCTACTCTACTTTTAGTTTGTGGAAAAGGAATAAAAGCATGAACGCTAGATTGAGTATACAATAATAAAGAGGTAAAATGGAACAGACTCAATAATAATTGTTCTCTGTAAATAGCTCGTCGTTGGCCCAGGTCAGAGAATAAACAATAATCCGACCATAGTTGTCCAAGGGTCTTCTTCTGAATAGTTTTCACACATAATAGATTCCGAAGATGGTCTGAAATGTTTTGATATCAGAGTTAGCAGATGAGACTCGCGAATGACCGCTGTAAGCGCGAAAAAAATCAGAAGAGAGAGTCGGAGCACGTGACCACATTCGTATTGCGTGAAATTGTACAAAACAAAGTTTTCGTAGTTCTTCCTATTCAAACAAAAAAGGATTACGTAATTTACGAAATACGTAATGTTGTAATGGAAACAAAGCAAAGGTACAATATATCACACTACTCCCACACAAGAGCGTTGACCGTGAAGGGGGAAAAGGTTCGAATAATGAAAACAATGACTTGAAACGTTGCTACTTTCTTGTTTCATAATTGCTGAGGGAAACGGACGCGTCATCCGGAACGACTAGCGGAAAGGGTGAGGTTGACGGTAGGGGTATCATGGGTAGGTGCGGATTTTGGTAACAATCAAGGTTGCTGGTTGTGGTCGTGGGTGCTTCAATGATTGCAGGTTTCATACGATCAAAAGGGACGGTATCGTGCTTTCCGCTTCTCTTTAAAACAAAGTCTTTTGAGTGACGTTCGATGACATTGAATGGACCATCGTAACAGGCGTAAAGAAATTTCCTCGTCATGTAGGACAAATACCAAGGGTATAGCAGAGAGATTGGTTGAAATGTGTTCTGTTCGCGCTCGTCTTGTCGGTTTCGCACAAAGTTCAGTCGTATGCTGCTTCCGAAGAGTAACAAATGTGACGGGTGATTCTGACTGTGCGCCAGAAGGGGAAATCAGTTCACCGAGTAAACCTAAAGTTGTACAGTATACTAGCTCGGGTGGTGAACAGTGAAGATCCTCCTTAATAGTGGAGCGAATAGCAAGCAAAATGAGGGATAAAGAAGAGGACCATGAAGATGGGTTCATTTGGGCAGTTAATGCAGCTTTAGGGTAGCGATGGAAACGCTCAACCAGACCGCTGGAACTGAGATCATGCGTGGTAGTCGACATGTGATGGAAACCGAATAGTGTAGAAAACTCCAGGAAGAGATTACACTTAAATTGTGAACCGTGATCGGTAGAAACGGTGGAAGGTATACCAAAATTACTCACCCAGTGCTGCAAAAATGAAAAGGCAACCGTTTCAGCTGAAGTGTCCAAAATGGGTACAGCTACTGGTCAATGAGTAAAACGATCAATCTCAGTAAGAATATGAGTGAAACCGTTTGATGGGGAAAGTGGACCAACAATGCCGAGATGGACGTGTGTGAATCGAGCATCAGGGGCTGAAAATGAACTGATAGGTGAGTTCGTATGCCGAGTTACTCTACTGAGCTGGCAGGCGATGCACTGTTTGGCCCAAGATGTTAGGTCCTTTTTCATGTAGGGCCATACAAAGTGCGCATTAATCAACTTCCTGATTGCTCTGATTCCTGGACGAGAAAATCCATGAAAGTGGTCGAAAACAAAGCGTCGAAAGGTTTCGGGGACGATGGGGCGAGGTGATCCGGTAGACATATCACAGAAAATAGTTCCGGATTGGAGTTGTGAGGGAATTGAAGAGACTTGAAATGAAGGGAACGATAGAATGGGCAAAAAATTAGGATCACTATTTTGGAAGTTCGCCAGCTTGGCCAGGTCCAAGTGTGTGGAAGCGTGAAGAGCGTTGATGTCAGGACGGGAGAGTGCATCTGCGACGACATTGTCCGAACCTAGAGCTACCGAATGTCGGTAGTGAACTGTGAAATATAGTCGAGATGGCGTATCTCGCGTGGTGAATATCGATCAGGTTTGGCGTTAAAGGCATACGTGAGTGGCTTATGGTCGGTTTGGATGGTAAACTACCTACCTTCTAACAAGTGCCGGAAATGGCGAATAGTATGGCAGATTGCCAGTAATTCACGACCAAAAGTACTGTCGCGCGGTTGTGCAGCCTGCACCTTCTGCGAGAAAAGGGCTAGTGGTTGGGATGCGTTGTTAACAACTTGATGAAATACGGTGCAGACGGCAGTGTTTGAGGCATCAGTTGTCAAAATCAGCTTTGTGCTCTCGTAAATATCGAGCAACGGCTTGCTTGGCCCTTTCAAAAGCAACAATGGCGGCGGGAGGCAAAGTAACAGATTTTTCTTTGGAGCCAAGTAAATCAGCCAGTGGCTG